CAGCGCTGCAGAGGCCCTCTAACTCCTGGCAGCAGGTGCAGGGGCCCCCTCTTTCTGCATGGGGACCCATGCTGGGATCTATCCTGCTGGGGGGGGCCCCGAGGGGCCCCTGGGGCCCCCCTCGGCACTCTGTTTTACGTTTGGCTCCCTGGGGGCCCCTGACCCTGAAGTATGAGAGGGCCCCCCTTGGCTTTGGGTCCTTCTTTGCATCAGGGGGCCCCTCGGGGGGCCCCCTGGTCTCCGCTGTGGGGAGAAGGGAGGGCCAGGCGAGGCAGGCGACCACGGAGGCAGCAGCAGCAGCAGCAGCAGCCCCAAAGTTTGCATGCAGTGCGGCTGCGCAATATGGGGACGGCTCAAAAGAAGCAAAAAGAACCTCTGGAAATACGGAAGAGGCACTGAGGCCTTTAGACCTCGACGCGCTTAGAAGCGACGTCGAGGAGTACCTTATCTCAAACAGCAGCAGCAGCAGCAGCAGCAGCAGCGGAAAGATGCTGGCAGCTGAACGCCTGCTCGAACATTTGCTTTTGTTGAGCCCTGCACGGCTGCAGCAGCTGCCTGCTGCTGACCTGCTGCTGCTGCTGCGCGTGTACAGTCGGCTGCTCACAGCCTCTGCACCAGTGGAAGAACCTCCAGCAGCAGCAGCAGCAGCAGCAGCAGCAGTAGCCCACGCTGCAGGCAGCAGCAGCTCCATAGCTTGGCAGCAGCGAGCTGCAGCCCATATAACTGCCCTCCGTCTCTTTCTTAAGAATGGGTCCCTCGCCATAGTTGAGCGCCCCCTTGATTTCCTGCTGCCTCAACAGCTAATCCGTGAGTTCTGCTGCTGCTGCTGCTGCTGCCGTTTCTGCTGCTGCTGCCGTTTCTGCTGCTGCTGCCGTTTCTGCTGCTGCTGCCTTTCCTCAGCTGCTGCTGCGGCCCCTATGCTGCTGCAGCCCCGCAGCAGAAGCCCCACTGCTGGCGCAGCAGCAGGCGTCTCTGCAGCCCGAGTGTACATTATGGCTGCTGGCGCGCCTGCACGTCCAGCTGCAGCAGCAGGACGTGCTGCTGCGACGCAGCAGCAGCAGCAGCAACGTGATTGCTGCTGTGTCTGCAGCTGTTTTGGCCGTCGCTGCCTCCATCCCCCCCGCCTGCGCCCCTTTAGAGTTTTGGCGCTGTCTGCTGCGGCGCTGCGTTGAGGCTGCCCGTTTGCTGCCTTCTGCTGCTGCAGCAAGGCTGCTGCTGGGCCTGGCCTACCTCCCGCGGCTGCCAGGTGAGCAGCTGCAACCGTCTTCCCCGCAGCTGCTCTCAGCAGCAGCAGCCGCAGCAGCAGCAGCAGCAGCCGCCGCCGGCGGCAT